CTACCCACATGAATATTTTATCTGATTTCCAATTTCAATTATGTTCTGACATTTGATCTGAAATCTATTGTGGTTTCTGACCTGGATTCTGTTCTGATATATGATCTGAATTATGTTTTGTTTTCGGATATCTCCATTTATTGATGATAAATTGTTATTTGGGGGTATTGTTGGAGGTTACTATATATGCAGGTTCCTCGGTTTTATGCTCGGGGCCTTACTTGGTGTGTTGGTGGGTGTGTGGTTTTGGGGAACCTACACATTATGGTGTGTTTGGTTGGAGGGATTACTATGGTTTTTGATAAATGTTTTATGGGAGGGTGTCGTTGGAGGAAGTTATCGTTACCATTACTGCAGGCTCCTCTGCTTTGTGCTCAGGGCCTTACTTGGTGTGTTGGTGGTGTATGGTTCTGGGCAACCTACACATTATGGTGTGTTTGGTTGGATGGATTAATATGGTTTTTGAATAAAAATATGTTTTGAACTGCCACTGTTTTAAAATAAAAGATATGTATCTTTTCACTGGTTTTGTGGGAACACACTAGATAACCTATTCTGATCTCCTGAATTTAGTCATCCGAAATATTTCTCTGAACTGAAAGCTCATTGTTCGTTACTACCTGAAATATCAGTAGGATCTCTGCTCAACATGAAAATCTGTAAATGTTCGGAAACAATAAGGATATATATATATTTATCTATATCTGCATGTTTTTCAGCATCATCTGGTAGTTCTGTATTACTGAGCTTTCCGAAGCTCACTCTATTACTCAACATTGTAGGTTAAAAGAATCGTACCAGTGCATCTATCGACTTCAGTAAGGGAGTTATTCCGGCGTTGTTGCAGAGTATGGTACATGTGATTAGGGGGCATGTAATTGTATTTTGTTTTATATACGAGTCTGGAAATCTGTTTTATTTTTAAATATAGACAAATGATTTTATAAGTTTACATGTTCTGATAAAAAGTTTCAATTTTTTCGCTATTTTTACAGTGGGTCGCTCTGGTGGCCCTAATGTGACACTCCAGATCGGATCGGGTTACCCGTATCGGTCTGGGGGGTTACAATTATTCACACGTAGGGAAGATAATTTAATTTAAAATTTTAAGATTTTAACTCAATCCAACTCGATAGGGTCTATTTTAAAATATATTCAAATTTGAGGGGTCGGATCAAATTTTATATAGTGTGAGGTCGGTCTGATTCTAGTTCGGATGGAGGGTGAAAATCTCTTATCCAACTCGATTAGGGATAGTAGTGTACTTTTTATATAAATTTATACATAATTACTATAATACCCCAATGTAGTTCTTTTAATTAGATCATTTTTTTACGTGAGGTCAAGGGAAAATTTTAGAGCGCACATCGTACAACGAAACACACCATTAATGTGACACACCGATGCACACCATTAATTAAAAATGTTAATTACATGACTAATCACTTATGTTTATATTTTGTTCACTTTTCTTCACTGATTTCAAAACACATAATGTATGGCCATTTTTCGTTTTTATTTAATTAAGATGGGGTCACCAAGATTTAACCGTTGTTAAATATTTTAGTATAATCACACATTTAGTTCATATTTTGGTATAATCACCACGTTTCGTGCCACGTGTCACCGTTCGGTTGGATGACTAAATTTATTTTAACTTAATATATTATTATTAACTTAATTTAAATATATTTATTTTTATTTAATTTAAAATTATATATTTTATGTTAAAATATTTTGAAGCTAGTCCTCCAATCGAATGGTGACACGTGACATCATTCGATAGGATGATTAAATTTATTTTAAAATATTAAGAGTATGACTAAATTGATAGAATATGTAAAAAAGGACCAAATATGTAATTATACCAAAAAAGAGACCAAATATGGGCGAAGTAAATCGATTGCGGAGCAATTGGTTCTCAAGTACAACGGTCGCCCTTTAAAGTAAGTGAATTGAATTGATCAAAATTGTTCACCTAATCTTTGAGTTTACAATTTACTGTCATAGGATGAACTATCGGTTGAAATGTATGTGGAATTTACTTGAATGACATGATGTACTCTAGTATTTTGGATGATCTAGATTAATTGTTACTCAAGTTTGCTATTGCTTGTGCATTTTCTTCGCTGTTTAATGCTACGATGAGAAATGAGTTGCATGGAAAACAGATTGGTTGCGCGAATAGCGTCCACGTCAGGAGGGATGAATAACAAAGAATCAATCACCGACGAAAGATGATACTGACGGCGGCGACGATGGTGACGACAACAGCAACAAAGACGACAGTGACGACGAGAGCTTTAAAGCTTTAAATAAAATTAGGGTTTTTAATTTAGGGGTTAATATTTAATCTAATTATAATTAAAAAATAAGACTATAAAAATAATATAATTAATATTATATTTTAAATAAATTACATTTAGATTTTCAACTAATTTATAATTATACGTTGAATACTTTATAGTTTTAACGTTTTATAAATTAATTTAATTGTTCTCATCGTTAGTGGTACTCATCGGTGCTCGTCGAGCGTGACAGACTCATCCCTATAATTATAAATTTTAAATTTAATATATTTAAGCTCCTTAAATTTTTTAACTCTTAATATTTTTACCCTTGATATAATCATTAAATTTTGAGGAAAAAATCAAGATGATTATGGACTAATATATTAAATATTTAAAATAAGAGCCCTTAACTTTTTTACAGTTATATTGAACCATGCCCTGAATAATCCATACTCTGGCACTACAAGTTGCTGAAAAAAATTACTTTTTCCAGCTATATTTATATACATATAGGAATGAATCCAGCAATGGACATTAAGGGAGAGTCGTAACTGGTGAAGTGTAAAAGATTTGAGTGCTTGTCTGGTGCGTTTTTCTAAGCCTGCTTATTTGGCTCGTTTTCTCTATTATTATGATTTGAGTATGTGTGAAATTATTTGTTTAAATTTTTAGGGCAAAGTATAGTAATGGTCACTGAATATTTCTAAAGCTTGCATTTAGGTCTCCCAACTTTTAAAACTTGCAATACAGTCCCCCAACATTTATTCTGTTTGCAATATGGTCCTCCAACTTAAACCACAGTTAGAAAATTAGGGTAAACTATATAAACGGTCATTGAACTTTTCAGGCACTTGAATTTAGGTCTCCCAACTTTTAAAACAGTACTCAATTTCATTCTAAACCCCAATTTCCAAAGTAATTCAATTTCATTCTAAACCATTGATTCTACTAAATCATAAATGATCATTGTATGAGCAAATTCATGTGAATCATAAATGATCACACTGTAAAGCACTGAAGGGTTAGGTACTCAAATCTGATAAAAAAAATAGCATGCAAGAACATAGTGGTACTTAAATCATAATGCTCCAAATGAGTGTTCCGAATTTCATATAGTCAAAAGTTGAAGAAATGAGCAGAATTTATGGGAAGTTGAAATACCGAATAGAGTGCTTCCATTTTGCTATTCGGGATGTTTAATCAATGTATATTGTTATTCAAAATTGATATAAATAGTTAACAACCCTCAAATTTATATTGAAATAAATATTGTCAAATAGTAAATTCATGTTCAAAATTTCAAAACACCTTAATTTCATTCTAAACCCTAAATTCCAAAATAATTCAATTACATTCTAAACCTTAAATTGAAGTATTTTAGAATTTGGGGTTTAAATTTTAATTGAATTATTTTGGAATTTAGGGTTTAGAATAAAATTGAATTACATTGGAAATTGGGGTTTAGAATGAAATTGAGGACTGTTTTGCAAGTTTTAAAAGTTGGGAGACCTAAATTCAAGTGCCTGAAAAGTTCAATGACCGTTTATATAATTTACCCTAATTTTCTAACGGTGGTTTAAGTTGGGGACCATATTGCAAACGGAATAAATATTGGGGGACTGTATTGCAAGTTTTAAAAGTTGGGGACCTAAATGTAAGCTTCAGAAATGTTCAGTGACCATTACTATACTTTACCCAAAATTTTATTATTTTGTCTAAAATTATTTATTTAATATGTTAAAAAAATTTAATTTGACAAAAAAGATAGAAGGATTTTTTTTCAAGTTAAGTCGTTAGAAAAACATTGAAGTAATTGTGTATAGATTTTATTTGAAGTATTTTACGATTTATTGTTATGTTAATTTTGTAATATTTATAGTTGTATTTTACCTTTACAGATTTATTGTTGTTATTATGATTATAATATTTTTATATTATATAAAATCATTTTACGATTTATGATCATATTATAATTGTTTATGTACCTGTTTTTTTAGCGTATTAAATAAATAATTTCACGTAAAATAACATATTAAATATCATTCTATCTCTTTTGTCGTCTGTAAAAAAATTAACATATTAAATAAATAATTTCAGATAAAATAAGAAAAATTTAAACAAATAATTTTAAACTTACTCAAATCAGAATAACAGAGTAAGTGCATCAAATAAGTAGCAGGGAAAAACGCACCAGATGAACACTCAAATCTTTTACACTTCACCGATTGTTGCTCTCTTCTTAATGTTCATTTCCGGATTCATTACTATATATATATATATATTTGGAAAAATAATTTTTTTCAACTTGTAGTATTGGACATGGTTCGATATCTAATGAGCAGGACATGGTGAGTAGCTACAACTGTGCATGAAAAATGCATTGAAAACCAAATTTGTATTTGAAATGCAAATTCACTCAAATCTTTTTTGTCTCGCATGGTGATCACGCAAAATTTCAATATATTTCATGTGTCGCATGGTGATCCATGCAAAGAGGGTTTCGCATGGAAGCGACATAGGTGGATGTCGCATCATTCGAGCCATATTTCCCCTCTTCTCTGACCATTATCCTAAATATTTTGCCATCAATAGTATGATGCAAAATATAAATTTCAAATATTTTGTAAATATAACCGGAAATATACATTTTAAATATATTTGAAGGTATTACTTATTTAAGTAATCGATAAAGAAATAAATAAATAGAAGAAGAAGAAGAATACTTCTTTGTACACAAATCTTTTTTTTTTCTGGTCATTTCAGTTGAAGGAAAATGCATCAGAGAGCTTCATCCATGTTGTGAAGTGAAGCTCTCGTAACCATTCATAAAATGCAGCATGCCTACTACTACTAATATGCACAACCCCTAGGATAATCCACCAGAGACAAGACTATCTATACATACACCTCAAATGCTGTGGACTATGAAAAAGAATCATATGTTGATTCTAAACATGAATCCTTTTTTTACACCTTTTTTTTTATTCCCCTATGTGGATGGTTGCTAGAATCCCTTTCCAGCATCCATCAATCCCTTCACTCCTGGCCTCCCAACCAGCAGCTGTATACTAACGTTCTTTATAAATACAAAAGGTTAAACGACAACACCGCCACCATCGAGGAAGACTTCCCGGCTTCCTCCATATTGCTTCTCCACCATCTGGAGCGACTCGGACAACATACGACTTCTCTGGTGAGCATGACTACGTACGACCTGCACAAAGATCAAACACCATAAGGCCAATACCCTAACAATATTAAGATACACTGTTCACTGTATGCATTCAGCCTCGAGTGCATGTTTCCTTATCACATATTCGTTAAACAATCATTACGATACTTCTCATTTCTTCAAATTATGAACTGAATACTAAAACCACACCAGAACTGATCCCTACAACACTACTGCAGGAAAGAAAATTACTCTATGTATAACAGTGCAAAGAGAAAAGGTATAGTACCTGTAGAATGCAAAATAAATAATTTGCAAGGCTAGATCCGAAGCCCGCCACTCATGTAGCAGTTCCGCTGCTCTTAGTCCTGCTGCAATCTAAGGATACCTGAATTGATTGAAAAAAGACACCGGCCACAGTTAATCCACAGCAAGAGGCCCAGGCAACCTAAGAACTTCATGTACCAAGACGTGGCTACTTACCTTGATCAACTCCTCACCCGGTTGTTTGGTCAGAACCACTACCTTGCATAAACTGAGGAGTAGTAACAATAAATTGTGGCTGTGCTGGAACAGATGCTGCTATACCTAATAAACAAGCACACTTGGGTGATATGTTGTTCTATGCATTTACAAACTCAAAAAAATTGGGGCCTGCTATAAGGTTCTCAGAGCTACCTTCCAAGATTGATCAAAAAATAAAATGAAGTTCATTCATGTGCACCACAATTCTCTAAGCTTAACCAAAGAGCCCATTCTCTATATAATATCTAGTTCACATATAAACTCAGCAACGGATATTTTCTTAGATCACAGAGCAAAAATAAATTTGATCAATGAAATATAAAAGCTAAGATGTACTGGTCTCTAGATATGAAGAGGAAATAAATGGTTGACAGACAGAATTATGGGGAAACGCAGAGCCAATAGCATAAACAATGGCAAAAGGAAAATTTTAATTATTGATATTAACCTCCAGGATATGGTGTTTGGATTGTGGCCATTGGAGAAGTTGTTATTGCATTAGCAACGGCTCCACCAAACTGCACTATTTGATGACTTGGCATTGCATATCCCTGTAAAGCTGTATAACCACGTCCGCTAGGAACATTTTGACCTACTTGCCCATATGGATAAATAGCTGCGTTAACTGCTCCAGGTACTCCATATATCTGAAGGTACTGCTGAGCCATATAAGGGTTGTAAGCACCCTGTCCAGAGAAACAAGAATAAATCAGCATTGGGGCACAAACATTACTTGCTCCGTTTTTTCACAAAATTGCACTTTGTAACGCCATTAACCTGAGAATAGACATATTCAGGTCCATATGTTGCATACCTGCACAGATAAACATATATCAAAGATGTCAAAAAGTTCGGGCATTAATTAGGAGCAAGGCAATAAATTTTATACCATAAATGAAGTTATAGAAAGGACAGAAACAATATTATTTATCACATCAGAACAACCAAGTCTTCCAAGTGATATACCGGAACACTACTATCAATGAGCCATACCAAGGCCCAACAACTTCATGTGTAACATTATAAAGCCTAACTACTCAGCCCATGAGAACAACCACATCCCCCCTTCTCCCAACATTTCTTTCCTTTAGATCCTTATCAAATCACAATCATGATCTTGCCTGTTCAATAAACATTGAGCTCGGGCACATATCCTCTGCAACTACCAATTTTGCATTCCTGCAATTACCAATCACACCATGTCATATGACTGTACTTTGGACTAATTAATCCTGAATTCTAAGCTAAAGACTAAAAACTCCTCGGCCATTTTGCATACTGTGATCGGTTTGAACTTCCATGAGACAAGGAGAATAATTAAAAGACGAGAAAGTAGCTGCAAAAGGAGATGTACCCAATTGAACTCTGATTAGCGAGCTTTCCATAATGACCCAACCACATTGCAGGTTGACGAGGCATATAGAGCACAAACAACCATATTTATGCCAAGGCTACAACCTATTCCCCGTTAACCATTAAATAAGATAGGTTTCTGCACCTACTGTTGGCTACAACCTATTCCTCGTTAACCATTAAATAAGATAGGTTTCTGCACCTACTGTTTGTGCTTGTGCAGAAACACACGATCAACACATGATAAAATTTCTAATGACAAACAAGCTTTACACAAAGTAGCCTAGAGACCTGCATTACAATTTACCAAGAGGGCAAAGCAAAAAAAAATTTAATGTGCCCATTCTTTCAATCCCAAGGAGAAAATCCCAGGAAATTATCACATAAGAGACACATAAAAAGTGTCTGACATGCACTTGTATCAAATTCAATTGTAGACAAAATCCCCCCAAAGAAACCTAAATAAGATCTCTTTGGCACTTAAAAGAACAAAACCTTCTAAACTACAAGCATAAATCATAAAAACTAGAAAAATGCTCAATCAAGACAAGCTCAATTGAATCACAATTAGAACAACCAATTTAGTTAGAAACCTTGACTCAGAAAGCATAACTCACCCATAAGAAGGGTACATTAATCCTTGTTGGTAGTTGTAAGGAAGTGGGGGCTGATAGCCAAAACTTCCAACATAAGCCCCTCGTGTAGCTTGCACACCTCCAACATATGGAGAAGCTGGTCTCAAACGTCCTATACGAAGATAACAAGGAAAAATTCTAAGCCTGATCGTAAAGGCTGATATAAATGTCCAAATGGAAAACCAACTGAAAGTCTGAACAATTTCAAAATTAGTTCAACTATAAGTATGCTGCCATCAGCTTTAGAGTTTAATGGAAGCCAAATAAAACCACCCTGCAAATTTGGGCAGGATAAACAATGTAACACTTTTGTCATATGATGACAATTTTAAATGGAAGGACAATTTCGACCACTGTTGTAAGAATGTAAATGGAAACTAAATTTAAAACAGAAAGGACAAAACTGGAAAATGAAGGGAAATGAATAATGAATATCGGTGCAATTGAGAGTTATGCATACGGAGTGGTCTCAAAAATGAATACTGATGGGATACACCACTTGGTCTTAGGAATGTTTACACTATGTAAACAAGAGGAAGTACAAGGCATGTAAACCGGGCAGGGAATATAATAGCTGCCCTACATTGTAATGATCTTCCTTTTGAAAATCAAAACCTTGTACTTCAAAAATGCTATTAGTTTGCTGCATTGTTGATAAAGCTTGTCCTTTATCCTCGAGAAGAATTGGAAATAGCATGAAGGAATCAGCTTAAAGATCAGACTAACCGGGCAAATTTGAGATGATACCGTAAGGAACAGGAGGTCGAGGACGGCCAAGAGAAGCCAAATTACAATTAGCGCGCCTGCCATCGATAATTGGGGTCGGATCAGCACAGGCTCTCCTAGCAGCCTCTGGATCCCGGAAAGTCACCTATACCCTCCATGCAAAGCCAAGAAGAAACCAATTCACTTTAAAGTCAATGCTTCACTTAAAACACATTGCTTTATCATGAAAGGGCATGCAGCAACCATTGAATTAATTCCAATTCGTCATTATTTGCATAACAATAACAACGATGACCAAATGCATAAGTAGCATATTATCTTTGAAAAGCAATAAAAGGGGGGAAAACAATTAACACTCACAAAACCGTATCCTTTTGAACGGCCGGTGTTCTTATCAGTGATGACAACGGCCTCCAAAATTTCACCGAACTGCTCGAAATAGCGGCGCATCGTTTCACTTTGGGTTTCCCAAGCAAGACCCCCAACAAAGACCTTGGTGTACGTTGTATCTCCAAATGGGGAATTCATGTATTGAAACCCAGAACTCGAACTCGACACCGAGCCCGGACCCGGAATTTGCTGATACGCCATGACCACAGATGACCCGGTTCAAATCCAAGGATAACAAATCAATTGATAAAGAGGTTAACCCCAAAATTCAGAGAGAATAAAACCACAGTATTTTTTCTTTACAAAGAATTATAAAACCCTAGAAAAACCCTAGATTTGGCAACAAAGATAGATACCCAGAATCGTTTGGGATTTAAGGGAATCAAACGACAGTGATGAAGGATGATGATTGGATTTTGACAGCAAATAAAGGATTACAAAGCGGAGGCGCAGACATAACAATAATCCTAAAGAATCATATGATCATAATAAAACCAGGGATACGAAAAAGGGGTGAATAAAGAAAGGAGGGGGAGGAGGAAAGGAAAACCCTAGACGGGCTAATAAGAGGGATGAAGTGGGTAGTTTTGGGGTAGGGTTTGGGGCTCTATACACAGTTTGGGAAGATTGGTGGGTAGAAAACAGAGTGAAAAGTCAAGCTTTAATAATACCAGAACACGAAGATCAAAGGAAAAACACTAGTAACTATGGTAAAGGGAAATTAATAAGAAATCTAACTCAGTTCATTGTAGATGAGAGATGGAGGATGGAATATGGGGAGAATTAGAAGATGAGTAATCATGATGATGAAGGAAGAAGGAGAAAAAGGGGGGGAAAGAAGAAGAAGAAGAAAAAGGAGGAAAAAAATAAAGGAGGAAAGAGAGGAGGGGAGAGGCTTTTAGTGCCGGAGAGTTCTGAAACAAGTAATGGCAATCAACAAAGACAGCTTGGTAGGGGTGGGGACTTTGGGCTCTTGAGGGGGACCTACAACCCTTACTTCAATGGCTAATCCAATTGGTTTATTTTACTTCTCTTACTCTAATCTCTATCTGTCTGCTAATGCTACCTGCCTGTTTCTGCTATAATTTAAACAACAAACTCCTGAACAAGCAGCACTCATTTTGTCTGCCTTCAATTTCTCTCCTTTTCAATCACAAGAAGGTTTTTTTTTTTGTTGGAAGTGAGATGTCTGATTAAACTCGAATTTCATTTGGATCGAATCTAATTAAAAATAATTTTATATTATTTCTTCATCATAAGGTTTGAATTTAATATCGATTTTTTAGACTTAAATATAAAATAAGTGTATAAAATATACATATTTTCACAAATATGTACCTACAGTATTTTTTCGGCCATCAAAGTGCCTAACGCTATAAACGTTATCTATTTAAGTGTCCGGACCGTTAATGACGCTAAATTCTTTCGTTAAGGGACATGTGCTACAATTAGGTGATTTGAATTTTTTATAAATATATTGAATTTTTTTTTAATATTAAAAGTATTAATTTTTTCTTAAATTATAAAATAGCATTCAAATCTCCAAAATCTTCAAATCATATCCTTAATCTTTCACCGCCGCCTTTTTCGACTACAACCACCGCAGTCGGCATGATCCTTGGCATCCTTCTAGTCATATGCCGCAGTATTTGCTATCGATTGGCAGTAGGAATTACATGGGATCGCGATTTTTAACACAGGGTTCGAGGGGTATAAAACATAGATTCGTTGTCAATCGATCGTCGATCAATCACGATTTCATAGGGGTTTTGATCGTCAGGGGGAGGTGAGGTCGGGTAGAGCTACGTCGACGGGAAAGGGTGGTGGTCGGTGTGGGTTTAGGGGTTGAAATGAAGATTTTCAAAGTTTTGGGTTTATTTTGAAATTTTTGTGTTTTATTTTTTTAAAAAAATATATAATTTTATTTTTCTTAAATTTTATACAAAAAAATTTAAAACTATCAGATTGCGACACGTATCGGTTAAATGGAGAAATTAACTTCGTTGACGGCCCATACACCTAAATGGATAACGTTTGTAACGTTAGGCACCTGGATGAGCCGAAAAATATTGTAGTCTCCTATTCGTGAAAATATGTATAGTTTGGACACTTATTTTACACTTAAGCCCCTTTTTTTCACTCGAATAAATATTGACAATAAAAGCTAATTAAAACTCTTAAACATAAGGTAATAGGCTTAGGTTTTTGGTTGCTAATCCTAAATTAGTGGTGGGATAATTTGGTTTAAAAAAAACGTATCAATTGTAATGCAATGAACGTATTATTAAAGAGTTGGGGAGGATTGGATAAAGCTGAAGGAGCTGTCCAAGTAAAAGTCAGGAAATCGAAAGGGACCCTCAAAAAAACAAAAGGATGATGTTGCTTGCGACAATCATGCATTATTGTTGTTCTTTCATTGAACCGGTTGGTATATTATATTTTTGCAATAAAAAAATGGATCTCAAACATTGTACCCCATCTTCAGCTCCAAGACCTGCAAAAACAGATTGGGTTGAAGCAAGAAGAGTCCAAATAAACCCACAGGTCCAAGTGTTCGATCCTTGAAATTACATGGTCTAATAATCATGCCGAAACAGAAGAGTGAAAACCAACAATGAGCAAAATCATCGGCATGAAAAATAAAAAAAACACGGTACTAATAACAATGATGTGTGGTGGTGGGGACGAAGAGGGCATTAACATGTGCTGCCTTGAACAAAATCATATCTGTCAGTTGCTATTCTTTATTCTTTGACAACTTTCTTGAGCAGGAAAACCTCTCCCTGCTTTCCTTTTTATCTTTTGGGTTTGTTATTGTTGATGGGGGTATCTTGCAATGGAGAATGGCCTACTTGCTTCTCTAAATTCTGCAATTTTTGCATCTTTTAACTGGTACATACACGGCAGAATAGTGTAAGCACTACATGCATGATGAATTGATGATGATGATGATACATGTGCTAGTGCTTTAATTCACAAATTAACGCTTGAAATTATTCTTGTTTTCTGACTTTGCATTCTAAATCTCCACTGCACTTCGCCATTTGATTTTTGATGAGATTTATTTTCAGCCGATTCCAACATTCTTAAATATAGAAAACCACAGGGAAAATTACAACTAATTCAACAGTACCAAGTTTACTTCTAGTTACATTTCTCCTAAAATGAGTCTGGCCAAAGCCACCTAATCTAAACATGATGAGGCTCACATTGATCCCTGCTAGAAGGGACACGCACAAAGAGTCGACCATGCAAGCTAACAACAGCGGATGTCTGAAGCGGATCGATTCTCGCCGGTAAGGTCATTACTTGTACAAACCACACCAAATTAAGATCAGCTGAACGAGTCTTCCTAACGTTTTCGTCTGAAATACGATGATAAAACTATAAAGAAACTAAACACAAGAATTTCAGCGCCATCAAAGATGGGATTAATTCCTCCTATTTTGTGTATTCTCACTATGTTATCAAGCATGTGATTGAGGACTTGAGGACAGTCTATAGATGCTACACCTTCTTAAAGGGGGTGATACCCCAAGGATTGTCAACATGCTCTGGTTCACCCGTTATAACCAAACGTCCAGCAGGATCTGATTGAACTCGTACCTATATCCACAGGAAAGCAAGTCCACTCTTACATCCAGTGAAACTTCATAGAGACTAAAGCAATATGAAAATCATAGGTTTCCACGAATATGAAAAATCATAGTAACAGACTCTAAAAGGACCAAAAACTTTCCACGAATTTGAAAGCAGAAAAGCAGCTAAAAAATTGTTGAGTAGGGAATAAACCCCCTGATACAACTATTTAATTCTTAGGCAAAACTTTCGAGATAATGTTATCGAATAAATTAATTCACGAGATAATGCATTCCCCATATTAATTGCTCAAATAGGGTGAAATCCACAGTGTTGGCCGTAGGTCGCCATGCATCCGGGCGACCTACTAGGTCGCCATTTCTTCCCGGCGAGCTACGAGATATTTTGCATGTGTCATGCACGTCCCAACACGCTGGGCATCCGAGGCCATCCGACCGCATCCGACCAAGGCCATCCGAGGGGTAGGTCGCCATGCACGCTGGGCTAAGTAACAAATATTACCTACATCGGTAATTAGGCTTTCATGCGATTACCTAAATTTCCCTAAGTAACAACGATTACCTACATCGGTAATTAGGCTTTTTAACTATACTGAAATGGAGGTCGCCATGTATGCCGGGCGACCTTATAGGTCGCCATGTATGCCGGGCGACCTTATAGGTCGCCATGTGATCCCGGCGACCAAACTGACGAGATGCCTAATTACCGATATAGATAATGAAGCAGCTCACCACAGCTTGCAGGGACGGCATGACAACCTCTTTGGTCGCCAGGAGCGCCTGGCGACATATGTTCGACATCAAATAATTTCAATTAGACCTTATTTCAACAAATAATTTTTTTCAAAACTCTACAGAGAACATGGAAATCCAAAATGTTTTAAGATATCATTTTACTAACCTAACAAATCTTGTGAACTAATAAGACGAATTACTAGATAATGTATTGCTACCGGCATTGACAAATTACTGAAAATAACAACAGACACGTGAGCTTTTTTGCATACTTATCTATGTAATCATCCACAAATACTAAAGTATAGGTTGCAATGCCAACTGTCGAAGATCATACCAAATGTTTACTAATTTACATCACATCATGTAAAAACGATTTCAGGACAAGTGCATACCTCCTCACGCAGGAGTCCAGGGACCAGAGCATATACCTCAAAGCAATCCTTCTGTCCATTTTAAGGCCAGGGAAACAGCTCTGAACTCAAAACCCCAACACAAGAGAATCCAAAACCGATTGTAACTGAAACCAGTTTTGTAATAGTTTTTTTATGTGTGTACACTGGGTAGGGAACAAGGGAAACTTACAGTTTCACGCACATTGATGTTCACCCAATCAGCAGGAGTTCCAGCATCAACAACCTCAGTGACCAATCTACATCAAGAAAAATCGCATTTGATCAGGAAGTAGAATAAAACAACAATCAGGTTAGTTTGAGCAAGTTTAATATTTGTGGACTTCTTCATGGGTCCGACATCCCTCCACTTTCCCTTTTCTACAGAGGCATCAAAGGATTATCACCATCCCAGACCGGTGATGGAATAGGGCTAATGCTAACTGTGGCCCTCTTAAGTGAAACATCAATAGCAAATTATATGGGCCCACAATAAAAGGGTTCTTAAGCCTTCCACAGATTAGTAAGAAACAGATTGGTGCTTAAATTCTCTTTGTAAATTTAAATTAGGAGCATTCTTTGTAAACAGGCTTTGCACTGGCTCAATTTTTCAAGGTGTTCCTAGCAGCAAAGGGTGCAATAAGACATATCAAGAATATGATTCTTTGAATTAAATCAATTATGCAGCCGTAAATCATTCATCTATATCTTCTTTCGATGGAAAACCCTTTCTTAATTACTAATTAATCGAATGAAAAATTGTCTCCATCTTCAACTTAAACTTTCAATTATGCAGAATGTAAATAGAGACGGGCAAAAGAAAACCCTAAATAAACATAACATATAGCTAAGTGATTAGCAGATATATTAACTGCTTATCTGATTCATGTCCAGATTCCATGTTTATTGGCGTCTTCTGCTTCTGCAAACCTGGAAAAGAACCCAAAAACAATATGAAAATTCATGGCAACAAAGGTACAAGTGTATTTTTGCAACATTACTATTAATGATATTCTTTAATTCTTTTTTCTTTTAAATATAATAGAAAGATCTGAAGATATAGCAGCATACCAATGTTTTTGAGATGTCTTTCACGCTTCGGAGTAGGACTTGAGATCTTACCCTGTATAGAGGAATTCTTGTTACCACTTAGACTTTTGCATTATAACAAATGATCCAAAAACAGGAATACAACAATATAGAAAATTAGAGATGATAACCTCTCCATATCCAACAGAACGTTGAGCATGCCAACCCTGCATGGCACGAGCTGCAGCATCCCTGAGTGCCCTGCCCGACCCAGGAAGGAAGCCACTTGACTGCATGGGAAACTCGGAAAACATTAGAAAAAGTATGCCTTACCAAAAATGGAGAGAGGAAAAATGTACGTCATTAGTTTACTTGTATGAAATTCAGCTTCATGTCAGTATATCGAATGGAAGATGGGAAGCTCAAAAATATATCATCAGACTGTTGTCCAATATGAATAAATAAACTCCTACAGTCCTACCACCTTTTCACCACTTGCATGAGGTAGTGGGGAAGCAGGAAGTTGAATCTCACCATTCTCCCTCTTATACTTTTCATATTCTAATAGTGCCTGCTTATTGGAAAACTAATTTCAATGGTGTATTTACACAGGAAAAGGATGATCTATCATATCAACAAGTACACCAATTTATAAGAGATACAATGCTCATCAGCTTTCCTCTAACTGCCTAACAACTCCAGCTAACCACTTAACAGACTAACTGCTTAATACATGTGCATATTTCTTTAACAGCAATACACGTGCATGTTCTTTAACAGTCTAACATTCTTCCTACTTTCTAAACCTTCTTGATGAAAAGATGAATAATTGAATCGAAAGTGCGGATGCTTCCTTCCGTTCACTTTGAATCGAAAGTGCCGATGCTTCCTTTCGTTCTTCTTGAATCGAAAGTGCGGATGCTTCATTCCATTCACTTTGAATCGAAAGTGCCGATGCTTCCTTTCGTTCTTCTTGAATCGAAAGTGCCGATGCTTCCTTTCGTTCACTTTGAATCGAAAGTGCTGATGCTTCCTTTCGTTCTTCTTATTCACCTTCATTTATTTCTTCTTCATCCTCTTATACAAGGATCCTTGACAGACTAAAACTACTTGATATGAAGAATTTGAACAACTGACGAATACATTTTTTGTCCTCCTGTTTGAGCTAACAAAGCCCACATTTTTCCTTCTTTCATCTGGAATTCCTTCAGGAATCAAAACCTTTTTATTTTAGCGTACTCGTTCATATGAAGTTGCCGCACTTGAATCCGGTGTGGCACCAGTCCACAAACTGAATGGTGGACTGGTGCGCTTGGTCTTGATGGTGGCAATGACAACGTTGATGTCTTTGGGCATGAAATCACCATGGTACATCAAACAACAAGCTATGTACTTGCCATGACGAGGGTTGCACTTGACCATCATAGAAGAGGGTTCAAAAGCACTGTTGGTAATTTCAACAGCTGATAGTTGCTCATGGTAAGCCTTCTCGGCAGAGATGACTGGAGCATAAGACGAAAGCATGAAGTGGATTCTTGGGTAGGGGACCAAGTTGGTCTGGAACTCGATTACATCGACGTTCAATGCACCATTGAACTTTAGTGAAGTAGTCAAAGAGGAGATCACCTGAGAGACAAGACGATTAACATTGGTGTAAGTGGGTTGCTCGACGTCGAGAGAGCACCTGCAAGTGTCGTAGATGGCCTCATTGTAAAGAAGAACAGATACATCGGTGTGCTCCAAAAGAGAGTGAGCCGAGAGAACACTGTTGTAGGGCTCAACAACAGAAGTAAAGACTTGAGGAGTTGGGTAGACAGCGAAACCTAGCTTGGATTTCTTGCTGTAATCAACGGACAGACGCACCCGAAGGAGAGAACCAAGACCAGAACCAGTGCAGTTATCAGCGAGCTTTCTGATACGGTCTAAGCACAAGTTGGCGATCTCCTTGCTAATTGAATAGTGGCCACAAGCAAAGTTTCTGGCAGCATCTTTCTTGCCGCTAATGAGTTGCTCGAGAAGAGCGAGGCCGATTGAATAAGAACACCAACAAAGCGGAAGAGAAATGGTCGCAGTATCATAGTTGAATGATTTCATCCGTTCTACTGAAACAAATCAGACACCAGCAACATCATTGAAACATTTGGTCGAACAGATTGGAAGCATGCACACCGAACAGGAACAGAGATAGAAGATGAATTGAGAAGATTCCCAGTAACTATGATGACGACAACGATAAACCACATGTACCGTAGCAGATAAAGCAATCAAGAACAGCGGTTGAGAAGATCAATCACCGACGAGAAAATGTTACCAGGATCACCGAGGAGAATGGAAGCAACTAGGAGCAGAAGCAACAAAACAGCGAAAACAAAACTGAAGATCGGAAAAAAAAATCTACAAACTATGCCGTAGTAACGGCAGGAGAGTAAAGGAATTCAATCGGCGCAACGGCGGAAGCGACAATGACGCCAGGATCTTTTAGCGAATGATACCATATTGGAAAACTAATTTCAATGGTGTATTTACACAGGAAAAGGATGATCTATCATATCAACAAGTACACCAATTTATAAGAGATACAATGCTCATCAGCTTTCCTCTAACTGCCTAACAACTCCAGCTAACCACTTAACAGACTAACTGCTTAATACATGTGCATATTTCTTTAACAGCAATACACGTGCATGTTCTTTAACAGTCTAACACTGCTCAATCATAAAATAATCAGACAATAGGAAATACAGCCTCAAATACAACGATTGTTACAAAAAATGTGTAAATCAATGAACTTTCCTCTTTACCCAATCAAGCAGTCAAATAGATTATGAGAAATATTGGCAGTGCTATAAGTTTACCACGTTTATTACTTAGTTTGGTTTGGATAAGCATGTCTTTGAAAATTTGCACTATGATTCTGATTATACCAAGAAAAAACTACACTAGTTTCATTTAGCGGTTCAAAGATATGACAGATCACAAGAAATATTGGTACTGCAATCAGTTTGCCACATTTTTATTATTTAGTTTGGTTTGGATAAGCATGTCTTCGAAAACTTTTACTATGATTCTGATTATACCAAGAAAAAAACTGCTAGTTTCATTTAATGGTTCGAAGATATGCTGGGGAGGGGCAGGCAAAACATATACTCCACAACTTAGATACAAGTAGAGTCTTTCTCATATACACATTAGTCTAAAATGCATGCCGTATAACTTTCACAAAGAACATGCTCAAAATAATCCCCAAATTCATTTCCAGCACAGGAAGAATGTTATCCATGATACCTATCATTTATGTTTAATGCAACCCAAAAAATGAAACCAAAAGAAAGGGCATATGCATTGCTATTTCTTTTCTTTTCTTTCTTCCTTTTCACTTGAATGTTTAAATTTAATTAAATGTGTCAATTGATGAGTGTCTTGGCAGAACAACAAGACTGGTCCATTATGATCTAGAGGTCACATTTCCAAGGCATGGAAACAACCTCATCTCACAGCAAGGGTAAAGTTACATGTATTGTACCCACAGTCCTTACAATAAGGCAGCTTGTTAACTGTCCCAGCCAAAAAAACATTCCTTCTCGTAGAAAATGCGGAATGTCCAAGAGACAGTTGTGCAGGTCCTGGGAGAAGGAAAGAGTTAGTTACCAAAGTCAATCAAGAGAATAATGTAAACTTCCACAAAGAGCGTGTCATATAAAGTACTTTGTGTTAACATCAAATGCAACCCCGAAACCATTGGGATTGAAAAATAACTATGCATAAAAATGTGCATAGTAAAAAAAAAGAATAAAAAAACCATCTTTCTTCTTACTTTGGGGGGTCGAAAGACTCTCCCACTTGCCGCCATAACTTTGATGCAGTCACCTATCAATATTGATCGTGAAAAAATCAATTTATATATATTGATGATGTAAAAGAAGAGAAAAAATAAATTTATAAATAAGTGTTGTATGCAACAATAAGACACGTTATATTCTTAAAAAATATTCAAATATAAATATTAAAGAAAATATTGTTGAAAAGAATCTCAAACTTCGAACATAGATCATAAAATAAACATAAATTTTATATAATAATGTATATATATTTTAAATATGCAAGAAATAAAAATACAAAAGTTTTATTTTTTAAATTTTCTCTTTATTCTTTCTATTCCTTTCTCTTTTCCATGTCTTTTTTTTTCTCTCCAATTTTTCTCACTTTGTACGCACTCACGCCCCCTCCCCCTCCCAAAAAAGAGAGAATACATTCACAGTGACCAATATTTCTTACTTTAAGGCATTATAGATTGACTAAATCTTTAGTCAGCATATTTACAGCTTAATATATTACACCTACTGTGTTAAACTGGGTCTTCGACCAGGTAAGACACAATTGAATACGATATTTGATAAAGAGAATTAAATAAAGGGTAAAGTACACAATGATTCTCTGATTATAGGATGTTGTTTTGTTGAGTCATCTGACTATTAAATGTTACAAAATGGTCCCTTGATTATAGGATGTTGCTTTGTTGAGTCTCTCAACTATTAAAAGTTGCAAAATAATCACCCGACTATTCATTATGTTTCAAACTTGTCATTTTCCGTTAAAAAATTAACAGTCGTATGAGTTGGACGTTAATATGCTAACTGAGGTATGATAGTCATTTGAGATTCTGAGATTATTATTTTATCATAACCCAGTTAGTCGATTAACGTCCAACTCAGGCTACCGTCAAATTTTTAACGAAAAATGACGAGTTTTGAATATAATGAATAGTTAGGTGACCATTTCGTAATTTTTAATAGTCGAGGGACTCAATAAAGCAACATACTATAGTCGGAGGATCATTATGCACTTCACCCTTAAATAAAAATTCAAATTTAAAATGTTTATGACAATTTATATAAAACCAAAATGTCTTAAACAATACACAAGGGATAGAATTAAGATAATACAGATAAGGTTGATACATACTACATGATTCAATCATGTTTTAAATTAAATATGAATAATTTTAAATATGATTAGATACTATGAATAAGATTATTTTGTGACAATATAAAGAAATGTCTTAAGATAATATGTCTTGATCGAAAATTTTGTTAAATATAATGTATTACATATTATTAAAAACTAAATAATTTCTTTGCGTACTTTGAATGTTATAGTGCTTTTTTGTATTCTTTTAAGGCTGTTTTGTTGGGACAACTTTGGTCCATTAGAAACGAGGTCGTGATTCATAGCAAGCTTTTTCCAGCTCACATGGTGCGAAAAGTTTGCATGGTGAATTTAGAATGCGTAATTTGAGGCATGTTGATGCATCGATACGTACACGGATAGATCGAGGAGTTGACGAGAGCAATTATCTCTCTTAAAAATTTCAAATTCTTATATATTTTAGATATTTTATTGATAATTTATTTTATCTTTCGTAAAATTTTATAAGTTAGCGCACCTAACATAAAATCTATCCGTCTTGCATGTCAAGATCTTGACACAACAGGGCATTGGTGATGTGCTAAATTGTGATGGAATGGTTGTGCACATCGACTAGAGGACCAATTGAACCCCAAGTATGGTGGAAACCCAAGCAATCATTTGTTGTGTGCTTCCACTTGCTATGAGCGTCCTTAATCATCAAATACAATAATCGAACCGATAATTTTTATGGTCATAATCGACTTAACCGAACCGACTTAATACAAGCACCACACACAAAATACATGTACCACAGAGAATGTAAACTGAGCTGTAAATTGCATTTTACAAAAGTATAATATAGATATAATTACATGCATTACAAAACATGTAAATCATAGTGAAGCAGTAAGCTAGGGTTAATGTAACAGAATTACACTCGTAATCAGAGACATCAGGTCGCACACCTGATCCGGAGATGGACAACGAAAGAAATGAAAGAACGAACCATTAACACAAGCTATAACTAAAGAAAACTGTAGTTTTACTACTTCTGGAAGCAGCTGATAACTTGCTTGTTTCTCGAAGTTGGTTGGTTCTTAGTCATGGAATTCAAAATCTCCTTTACGTTCCCTTAAGCTTCTTCCTCTCCTATAGTCGATCTCTGCATCAGAGCATGACAAGCCCAGTTGATATTTCCTGCTCCTCGATGAACTCTTCTTCAAAAGTACAACACCCTCTTCATCGGTCAAGGGATGGTTGATAGGCATACTCGATCCAGAGACATCAACCACCTGCCTCCTTGATTTATGATCTGCACCACATTAGGAGAGAACGTTATTGATTTTCAACAGGGCACAATATCTTTAAGGTCTGAGGCTCCTATTACAGAGCAGAAAGCAGTCCAGGTGCTAGGGAACTTAAACATTCTCGAGTAGTAATTTGTTTGATTCATCACTTTTTTTATTCATCACGACCTCCAATTCTAACACAATGCTGTGCATGTCTATTGTCTTTTGCATATGATAAAGTAGGAACACCAATGCCACAAACTATCACTCAGAATTTGAAAATATACAATTATGCCTTATTTACTATTAGAAATTATGAAATAGATTATATCTAAAATGCTTAGAAGGTTAAATGTGAAGATGCCAAGGATGTTCAGTAAAATTGTGGTCCCATTATTTCTTGACAAGCAATAACAGCCAGAGTAATAAATGAACTTTAGATCAACTAAAGGACACTTTACCTTCATATTCATTGCATGACACTTGCACATCATGGTGTCCAGCCCAATTGACAAGATCAGGTTTTGGTTTTCGTTTCATATCACCCAGAGAGTTTTCCTGTAACCTCTCTGCCTTCGATCCTCTGGCAACAGATGCAAGTTCCGTACTTTCTTCAAAAGCAGGTTTATCTATGGGAAAGGGTGTCATTGTAAACGAATCATCCGTAACATCAGTAATCTCCACATATTGAGTAGTAGTGATTATTTCATCTGCACTAAATCCAAAGGAAGCTCTATAAGCTTCCAGTTCTTCTACATCTTGCTTAGGACTTTTACTATGCTTATTTTGATGTGCACTGCTACTGGTAGGGTAAACATCTGAATCCTTCGAAACACTTAATCTACCAACAGCATGAGGAAGTGGGTTCTGATCCAGATAGAATCGTGCAAATGTATCAGGACAAAAGAAATTAGTATCTTGAGACCCTATGGAGGAACCGGTTACATCATGCACAAATAGTCTGCCAGAACCACTCCTAGAATGTTTGCCATTCTGAGCAGAAGTTGAAGGATCCCATTGTGGAGGAAACTCCCTGTCAGGGAAGGATGACGACAAACAGTCAGCTGAAGTACTAGAGATTGGTGATCTGAGGCTACTGGCAGGACTGCCTGGATAAAGTGAATATGTAGATTGAAGATCATTTGCACCAATATAATGATTCTTATTGGCATTTTCAAGATCCGCAGAAGAGGTCAAGAACCGAGCAAAAGGGACATCAGGTGAAGAGGGGGTTGTCAGGTGGGCCAACTCAGGCGGAGGAGTGAGAGGAGCAGTGGAAGGCTCAGTTGTGAAGGTTGAGAAAACAGGAGGAGAAACTAGTTGTGTCTCATGGGCATATGGTCCAGTGGCAAACATATTGGAAGATGGCCCTCCAGGTGAGTTAGCTGATAATGACAAGAAGCAACTAGGTGATTGAGCAGTTGAAGGGAGGGCAGAATTAGAAAACGACGCTGGTGAAGAAGGCGGTGCTAGAAGTGATGGAACTAATGTAGTAGCTTGATTGGTCAACCCAGCAACAGCTTGAGAACCATTTGGCTGGGCAGCTGATGCATTGCCCTCGGGCATACGAGGTACAATACGCTTTCCACCTTTCTGTGAACTGAAACAGGAAAATGCCCCCCAACATCCTCCCCATCTCTTCTGCTAGCAACAAGATTAAACATAGAAAGATTATATCAGATAATAGAAAATAAAATATCGAAATTAAACAATTTACAACCATTAGCGCTCATAATTTTCTCAAAAGCCAGAAAAATTCAGCAACGGATAAACAAGCACTACAAATATTTCTACATCTACGCAACATTGAAAGACAATTCATATAACAAAATACCCAGATTTTTCAAGAATTCATGTATAAGAAATCGAGAAGTGAAAATATGCTTGGGAAATAATATTTTTCTAAAAATGAACAAGAGAGCACTATCCAATCATAGTAATTCATGTTATACTTAAATACAAACAGAAAACATATGGATTTTTTTTTCTAAAAATGCACAAGAGAGAACTATTCAATATAATAATCCAAACCCAGGTGTTTCTAACTAATAACCCAGAACAGAAAACTTACGTTCCGTGAAGGAGAACAAGAACCTTAAGTAAAAGAAAAAGAGAACATGGCTAAAAGAATGCAGCCTTAAAGCCTAACCTTAAGCATGGTTAAGTAAATTTCCAACGTCGTATTTGCAACTTTGAGCTTTCGTTAGAGTTAGATTTCCAATCAGAGATGAAGTGCAGTTAAATGTTTGGGATTTTAGGTTTTCGTTTGCCAGGAAACGAAAAAGGCAGCTAAGGTAAATTACTTGTAGACTCAAGAGAAGGGATCCATGTACCTTAAACAGTTCACTATCATTAACAACAAAAAAAAAAACTATTCAGTACACAGATTTTGAACTGAAGAAGTGGTGAAGTAGTTGGATCAATAGACGAACAAAGAGTGCAAAAGGCCAAGTACATGAATATGTACGGTTCAAGAAAAAAACAATAAAAATTCTGATGACTAATGGCAAATCAATAAAAACAAAGCACAAAGCCAAAATTAATCACACCAAGGAATCCAGCATTTCATCTATGTAGGTATCAACCAAATGGGCACATCTCAAATAAATTTTTCTCCTTCTTCAATTGATCTTCACTATTAAAAAAAAGAACAAAAATAAACAAGAACACCATGTTACAACTAGCAAGCAAATCTGAGCACAACAGAGTAACAATAAGCAACATGGAATCAGATCTGAGAAAAAATTGGAAACAAAATGTACGGATCTAAACAAGGCACGGGAAAAAAATAAAAGGTACCCGTTCTTGCTGGGGGAATCTGTTCTGCTCGGAACCCATTGTGGGTGGGGTTTCTTTCTTTTTGTTCTCTTTTGCTCTGAATTGACAACTTTTTTGTTTGTTTATATAGTAGTTGCAGTACTAGCAGAAGAATACATGTGAAATGATTGCGAGAAAGTTAAATTAACAGGAGGAAGTTGATGAACCCAGAAATTTTTTTATCTTTTCCTTCTTTATTTGTTTCATAACATTTGGAAAAGATTGAGCAGGCAGATGAGGGAAGACAAACACTCCCTTCCTCCTTTGCTCCTTTACACTGCTCTAGGCCTGGCCTGCCCAGCTACTTGCTTACCTTTTTTCCCCTTTTTTTTCTTTTTCTAATTTATTATTATTAAATTGCCATTGGATAAAAAGAAGAGAAAATCGTCTCAGTGACTAAAAATGCCTTATAATATACGATTTTAACCAATTTTTTTTGGATTTGCCAAAATGACCAACAAAATCGCAACGCGAAATAAAAATCGCAACGCGATCCCCAGAATCGCAAACCAGTTTCCAAAATCGCAACGCGATTCTTGACAATCGCAATGCGATAGTACAAATTCGCATTGCGATTTTCAAGAATCGCAACGCGAATATGAAAATCGCAACGCGAACACATAAATCGCAACGCGTATCCGTAAATCGCAACGTGTATCCGTAAATCGCAACGCGTATCCGTAAATCGCAATGCGTATCCGTATATCGCAACGCGTATCCGTAAATCGCAACGATAATCAGTAAATCGCAACGAGTATCCGTAAATCGCAACGCGATTTTTAAAGCGCCATTATAATCGCTACGCGTATTTTATTTTCAAATTACAAAAACGAATATTAAGACAAAATCCCGTAATCGCAACTCATAACCTAAAACCTAAAACCTAAAATCACAACTCAGTCCCATCTCCATCTCTCACTCTCTACGGCGAAATCCGTCCCCATCTCCGAAGATTTCCGTCCCCATCTCCGGCGAAATCCCTCACAACCATTCACGGTCAGAAATCCTTCACAATATTCAGAAATGGAAAATCAACCTCCGAGGGTTAGTTTTTTTAATTATTTTTATTTTGAAATTTTTGCATTATTGTAGGTTTTTTATATTGAAACTGATGATATGTTTACTGGTCATTTCAATAATAGATTAACCATTTCACTTAGATTTCATTTCGCATTACGATTCTCTCGTTGCGATTTTCATTTCGCGTTGCTATTCTCTCGTTGCGATTTTCAAGTTAGTATTTGTCTTTGTCTTTGTTCTGTCTTTTGGTTGAAGTAATGCAATCCATTCAAGTTTCAATTTGCAGAAGAGTCGCAACGAGATAAATGAAAATCGCAACGTGAAAATGACTATCGCAACGAGAAAAATGAAAATCGCAACGAGAGAATCGCAACGCGAAATGAAAATCGCAACGAGAGAATCGCAACGCGAAACCAAAATCGCATTGCGATTTTCATTTCGCGTTGCGATTCTCTCGTTGCGATTTTCATTTCTCTCGTTGCGACAGTCATTCTCTCGTTGCGATTTTCATTTCAACCAAAAGACAAAACAGTGTTGCAAATTTTAGTTTCAAGAATAAACTACTACTTTTTATGTTTATTGTTTTTGGTATATCTTCACAGTGTAGTTTTTGGTATATCTAACTTGGTATGTTTATTGTTTTTGTAGAAATTTTTTTCGGCTTCATTGACATTAAGGAATAAAGTTAGCCTAGCCACTACAATTGCTTCGAAGCT